CCGCGGCGCCCGCCACCGGCCCCGGGCCCCGGGGGAAGCTCGGAGACTCACTGCGAGTATAAGTCGAAGCGGACCTCGCGGTCCTCCCAGAGCACGTCCAGCACCGACATGACGCCCCGGCCCCGCGGCCTCCCCGGCGGAGGAGGCCTTGAGCGTCTCCCGGACTCCACGGCAACAGGCTCCCTTCACGACGACGTCTACGGCGGGCGACGAGACCCAAACTTCCTGCGGGGAGCGTGCACGCCTTCTCCTACGTCAGCGCGTCGTTAAGTGGATTTGTGGCTGGAGGTGGGGGCTGCCGTCCTGGCCTCCAAACTGACCTCCTCTAGCCATTCCACCCCTCCCGCTGTTCTTCTACCATCTCAGGAAACTTAGACTTAAAGCTCTATTTAAAAAACAACAACAACAAAATAAACCAAACTAAAAACAAAACAAAACAGCCCAGCTGGCACCAGTGGCTCCTGCCTGTAATCCTAGCTACTCAGAGATCTGGCTGAGATCTGAGGTTAGAAGCCAGCCAGGGCAGGAAAGTCTGTGAGACTCTTATCTCCAATAAACTATCAGAAAAAGCCAAAGTGGAGTTGTGGCTCTAGCGCTAGAGCACTAGCCTTAAGCAAAAGAAGCTCACAGACAGCGCCCAGGCCTAGAGTTCATGCCCCAGGACCAGCAGAAAACAACACACAAACACACACAAAAACAACATCCTGGAGCCTGGGGTGACATGCCTGTAGGCTTAGCTAGTTAGGAGGCTATGATCTGAGGATTGTGCTTCGAAGCCAAGTCTCCCTTGAAAGTCCTAACCAGCAAAAAGCTGGAAGTGGAGCTGTGGCTCAAGTGGTAGAATGCCAGCCTTAAACACAAAAACTCAGGGGCAGCGCCCAGGCCCTGAGTTCGAGCCCCAGAATCAGTCCAAAACAACAATAAGAACAACAAAACAAAACAGATCCTGCCTGATCCGCTAATCTGGCTCTGGACCTTGGGCAGTCTCTCTTCCCCAGGCACTGCTCCTTCTGGCCGGACTCCAGCCAGATATGCTTGAGCCTTTGCAGGACTGGCTTCCCTGTGTGGGTTGCAGTGTTCCCAGATTCTGCATGACCGATCCTTTGTCATTGAGGTCTAAACTAAGGACAGACATTTGGTATATCTAGTGAACAATATCATGCACACAGTAGGCACCCAATAAACATGTTGACTTCCTATGAATTAAGGCGCCTAATCTTTTCTTTCATTCATTACAATTCTTTAAATCAGGGGCTCAGACAGTGGTCTGTGGGTCCCTGTGTTCTTAAGTGGATGGAATGCTCAGTGGTTTCCACTGTTTCCAAAGACTACAAGATGCATCATTGAATGTGGAAGTGAATATAAAATTCTGGCTTTTTCATTTTGTTTTGTTTCCTTTGGGGCTTGAACTCAGGACCTGGAGGCTGCCTCTCAGCTCTTTTTATCTCAAGGATGGCACTCTACCACTTGAGCCACCACACCACTTCCAGCTTTTTCTGTTTATGTGGTACTGAGGAATGGAACCCAGGGCCTCATGCATGCAAGGCAAGCGCTCTACCACTGAGTCACCTTCCCAGCCCCAATTCTTCTTCTTTTTTTTTTTTTTGTCAGTCTTGGGGCTTGAACTCTGGGCCTGGGTGTTGCCTTTCTGCTCTTCAGCTCAAGGCTAGTGCTCTACCACTTGAGCCACAGCACCACTTCTGTTTTTTTTGGTGGTTAATTGGAGATAAGAGTCTCATAGCCTTTCCTGCCCCAGCTGGCTTTGAACTGTGATCCTCAGATCTCAGTCTCCTGAGTAGCTAAGACGTGAGCCACTGGCACTGGGCTTATGACAATTCTTTAAACCAGGGACTCACTGAGAGTGAGGATCCCTGTGTGTCTTCAGTGGATGGAATGTTCAGTGGTTTCCACTGTTTCCAAAGACTTACATGATGCATTATTGAATGTGGAAGTGAATATAAAAATCTGGCTTTTTTTTTGAGCCACAGCTCTACTTCAGCTTTTTTGTGGTTAATTGCAGAAAATAAAATTTTTATAAATGTTCTTTATAATTATCCTCATCCTGCATATTCTTTGTAATTACCCTTATCTTTGTCATTATGAAGGCAGATTACTCCAGCATTCCAGCCTTCCATCTCCCTATTTACCAACGGCCAAGTACCCAACTAGGAAATCAGAGAATGTACCTCTTACTTTTCTTTTTGTTTTTCTCTGCCTGGATCCTCCCCATCTAAAACTCTCAGCCTCTCAGGTTATATGCCTAGATTTATATTTATACTGTTGTAATCCAATCAGGGAGAAAACAAAGGATGCCAGAATCAATAAACCAAATTATAGACCACTTTATTGCAAATATTAGTGGCAAAGACTGAGATATAGGCTTCCCAAATCATGCAGCCCTGAGACAGGTCAGAAACAGTCTTTTCAAGGGGAAAAATGCACCTTTTTGATAAACAAGTAAGGTATTTTGTTTTGTGAAGCACATACAGAAGCATTATTAGTCAATTTAGACTTGGTTCCCAGAATACTGGGATGGAACAATTTGGGGGGTTTTCATAAAACCTCGCTGAGCAAACAACTTGCAGTTTTTCCGCAGAACAACAGCTCTGGGGGTCAGGTGCTTTTTTTCCTTTGGGGGACAAAATGGTGTTACTTCGGTCAGGCTTCAGGCTTAAGGACATAACCTACTTCAATAGTACTAACCTAGCCTCCATTAGGAAAATGGGCAGGCTTTAAGTTCAATTTCACTTATAAAATGAAAGTATTTCTATAATGGCCAACCTACCAAAACTAAGTACAGTCATTTATATATTCTGCACAGACGGTGGTGTTGGTTTCAGGCAGGTTACAGCACTGCTCCAATGTATCCTCTATCGAAAACAAAAAACAGGAAGTGGAGCTGTGGCTCAAGCGGTAGAGCACTTGCCTTGAGCTGAAGAGCGCAGGGACAGCACCCAAACCCAGAGTTCAAGCCCCATGACCAACCAAAAAAAAAACAAAAAACAAAAAAACAAGGAGCTAGGTGCTGGTGACTCATGCCTATATTCCTAACTACTTAGGAGGCTAACATCTGAGGATTGTATTTTGAAATCAGTCCAGGTGAAGTCCTAATTAACTAGCAAAAATCTTAAAGTGGGGTTGAGCCTCAAGTGGTAGAAAAAGCCAAATGAGAGCTCAAACCTGAGTTCAAACTTCAATACATAGTAAAAGCAAGGAAAATATCTGGAATTATGTATAGCTTATTATTAATCATTTTGCAAAACATTTTTCTATCCTTAGGTTTCAATTTCAACAAATCAGCCTTTTCTTTCTTTCTTTTTTTATTTTTCTTTTTCCAGTCCCGGGGCCTTGGCACTGTCTCTGAGCTTCTTTTGCTCAAGGCTAGCACTTGAGCTACAGCACCACTTCTAGCTTTTTCTGTTTATGTGGTGCTGAGGGATTGAACCTAGGCCTTCATGCATGCCAGGCAAGCACTCTACCACTCTACCACTAAGCCACATTCCCAGCCTTCAATCAGTTTATAAGTAAAAATGCATGTGTGTGTGTGTGTGTGTGTGTGTGTGTGTGTGCACGCACACGCCAGTCCTGGGGCTTGAACTTAGGGCCTGGGTGCAATCTCTGAAATCTTTTGCTCAAGGTTAGCACTCTCAGCCTCTTGAGCAGTTAGGATTATAGGTGTGAGCCACTGGAATCCAGCATAAAATGCTTCTTTTTTTGTCACCCCTTCCTTTGTTTTCCTTCATCTTTTTTGTCACTTCTTCCTTTGTTCTCCATCTCTCTTCCATTTCTCTCCATCTCCTCTATCTCCTCCCCCATCCATACCCTCAAGTTATGTGGTTCCATTTTTACATATGGACATTGACTATGAATGTTATTAGCTCATCTTTCCTCTTTCATCTGTCTGCCATCCTTTTTCCAACTCCTCCCCTGGCTAAACTACAATCATTTTAACTTGTATCTCCAGAAAAGATTTATTATGGTCCCTGTTATATTAATAGAATGATATTAATACTACATAGCAACACATTTAGAAGATTATTATTTTGTCTTGTAATAAGATTTGTATACTCCATTTGAGCTTTAATGTTCAATGGACTGATAAAAATGCAGCTCCTTACAGTATAAAACATAAGCATTATGAATGGAATGCATTACTGTTCTTTCATGCAACTAGAAAAAAACAAACTATCTGATGATGTTAGAACTGTTTCCAGTACATTAACCATCAGGTTAAGTTTTAAAGATTAGGAATGTTGAAGAAAGAAGAAAAATGTCTATTTCTTGGGATTTCTGCTGGTTATAACAAAGCTTAAGCAAATCCCTTCTGTAAGCTGTAATATGATCTGTATTCACAAAAGCCTGAAATTTGAAAACTGCTTTCTAGAAAACTGTTAAATTTTTAAGACAGCTGGACACTGGTAGCTCACTCCTATAATCCTTTCTATTTGAGGATCTCTGTTAGAAGCAAGCCAAGGAAGACAAATTTGAGAGACTTTATCTCCAATTAACCACCACAAAGTTGGGGGTGGAGCTGTGGTTCAAGTGGTAGAACACCAACCTTGAGTAAAAAAGGCAAGCGAGAGAATGTGAGGTCTGAGTTCAAGCCTCTATACTGGCACACACACACACACACACACACACACACACATAAATATACATACACACACTCACAAGTTAACTTTAGAACACTCACATTGTGACTAGCAGGAGAGAGCCAAGTGGCTTTGAGGGGGGCTGAAGTAGGTAAGGCAATCTCAACAACATGGCAGGAGGCATGTACAGTCGACTTTGATTTGAGAGTTTCTGGAGGATTATGATGTCAACCCTATTCATCTCAAGAAATTTTAAGTTGGACCAGCAGCATGGATCAAGCAGTAAAGCACCTGTCTAGCAAGTTCAAGGCCCTCAGTACAAACAAAAAAATAAAATTCAGCTGGGTGCCAGTGGCTCACACCTGTAATCCTAGCTACTCAGGAGGCTGAGATCTAAGGATCGTGGTTCAAAGCCAGCCAGGGCAGGAAAGTCTGTGAGACTCTTATCTCCAATAAACACCAGAAAACCAAAAGTGGCACTGTGGCTGAAGTGGTAGAGTGCTTTTCCTTGAGCTTAAGAGCACAGGGATAGTGTCCAGGCACAGAGTTTAAGCCCCATGACTGACCAAAAAATAAAAAATAAAA